ATTTTATTTCCTAACAGAAAGGTTCTAAAAATAAGACAAAGTAAAAGCTGTGTCACTCAGGAGTGGGGTTGAGCAACCCTTAGAATGCGATTAGAAATATACTTTTGCTGGAGGATGAAGGGAAATTACCAGTTAAGGTAGTTAAGTGCTAAGGTAAGCACAACTCAGGCTGTCCCACGCGAGCTCATATCACCACTGTCACAAAGTCTGCCTGAACAGTCATCCACTGCAGGGACACCTCACCTGCACTCCGAACCCTGAGATGTCACGCAGCCACACCTCCCATGACAGCTAGCAGAGGTGGTGCCCTGCAAAGCTTTGAGCATCACTTTTTTCCTCTGCCCTACTGTTTAGTTCCTCCCATCCTATTGCCATTTTAATAGTTCTTAAAAACTGTTGTACGCTTGTACTAGTTTTTAATGTCACTGCTAATTCTAAGCGGAGCAGCTGGAGAGAGAACCAAAACCTTTGGCCTTGGCAGAGCAGAGGATTTCACGAACAGAACAGCAGTGGCCAGCTCAGAGACGTGGGCATTACTGGTGCTATGGAGGGCCTCTCACACAAGCAGGACGCATTTAGACACTGCCCAGCACGACTCACAGCCAGAGTGAGTCAAGATGAGGGGGCTGATGGTGACGTCTTGCAGCACGGCACAGAGGCTGTATTTGGCAAAGCATCTGCAAAACTGCAAATTCTGTATCTGTGAACTCTTTCAAACAGAGGAAGATAGAATCGCGATGGAAGCAAAGGAAAGGATGGCAGAGGCAATGGCAAAGACAGCCTTTTCAGAAGAAACTGAAGGTTATGGAATCATGACAAACCTCAAAACAGATGTTAATGCTTATGACACAACTAAAGGCTTCCTAGGTACTACGGCAAGGAGAACGATAGGTGAAAAGACAGAGGTAGGGGGAGTTCTTCAAACACCAGGAACAGCAGCAGAGGTGTTTGAACCCAGAGGCCAAATCGCATCAAGGACAAGATCAGCTGAGGCACCAATTAGGGTCAGCAAAAGGTACAGCAAAGCAGCAGCAGCTGCCTCTCAGGCGGTGCTGAGGGTGACCCAAGCCTCCATCCCCTAGCAAGGCCACTGGAGGAGGCACCTCCAGTTCATCTCTGTTAAAGTACAAGGCAACTGTCAGGTTGAGAGCTATGCAAGAGGGATTTGCATTTGCTGGAATGAAAACAAACAGGGAACTCTCTTAAGTTTCTCTTCTCAGGCTGGCTCAAACAGAGTGGATGGCCTTAGAAGAGGATGTGGGAAAGGCACAGGCTGCAGCCTGGAGTTTCCGCTGTGTACCACTTGTACCACCTGTGCCACCCTTCACTGGTGCTACCACTCCAGGCTCCCTGCACTAGACCACTCTGGGACACCCACATTGTTTCTAAAGAGCAAGCTGCTCCCCTACAACCAGCTACCTGCCTGGGGGGTGGCCACCCGGGTTACCACTGCCTACACAGACACGGCTTAAGAGACCACAATCCCAAGGGATGCAATATGCGGGGCAGAAGGGCGGTTCCCGCTGTGCCGCACAGCTGCTCCGTGCTGCCGAGGTGCCCAAAGTGCTCCCTGGGCAGCACGGGCGCAGCGGGATGGAGCCGGCGGGGCACGGCGAGCACACAGCTGGGCACCCAGGGCTGGAGAGCCACACGGTGCCCAGCCCAGCTGCCGGGCGAGGAGAGCGCACCCACCCGAGCTTGCAGCACTCCCCGAACCAGCGGCACCTCAGCCAGGGGCACCCGCCCCCCGGGCCGGCCAGCGCGGCCGGGGCAGCCCCGCGCACGCAGCAGCCCCCCGGGGCGGGCAGGGCCGCGGGCTCGGGCGGCCGAGCGGGTGCCGGTGCGGCGGGGGAGGCGGGGGCCGGGCCGCGCCGAGGCCCGGCGGAGACACAGGCCGGGCGGCCGCGGGGGCGCGCAGGGCGGGGGGAGCCGGGCGGGAGGCCGGCGGGGCAGCGGCCGGGCCGGGCGGCGGCAGCGGACAGGGAGCGCCCGGCCACCCCCGGCCGCTCCAGCGGGTCCCTACCTTCTCCCGGCCCGCTCCGGGTGCCACGGCCGCTCCGGCCCTGCGGGTCCCGCTCCCGCCTCCGCCCCCCCGCGGCCGCCCAGCCCCGCCCGGGCCCCGGCCGGCCCGGCCCCCAGCGCCCGCCCCGCCGCCCGGCCGCCTCCGCCCGGCCCGGCGTGGTGCCTCCAGGAGGCGGGGCTGCTCCGCGGGGCTGGCCCGCAGCCTGGCCAGCCCGAGGCCCGCGGGTGACGTGGGGACATCGTCCTTTTTGTAGCACCGCCCGGCCCCAGGCGGCGAGGCGTTTCCCCTACGGGGACAGCCCGGCGCGGGACACAGTGCCCAGCGTCGGTGCCAGGCGCCGGGACACGGGGTGCAGCCACTCCCGTATCCTCCAGGCTGGACGCGGCACCCGTGCGCCGTGCGCCGTGCCAGGCTGCTGGCACAGTACCCGGGAGCCCGGCGCGGGGCACGGCAGGCAGCTGCCTGTGCAAACCCTCTTCCACTTCCCCACAGAGCGCTGCCGCCTCGAAGACACCACCGGGGCTCCCCTTCCCCGCTGTTGCCATCCCCTGGGAATCTCTCACTGCCTTGTTGGCCTCAGCTTTGGCAGCAGCTGACGAGTGGGTCTACACTGTCCATCTGGTGCAGGCTCAGCTTTTCTGCTAGCAGCTAGCTTGGCTGCTTAGATACACTATAAGATCATGCCAGAGCACCAAGATGGAGAAAAATAGGTCCCCAGCAGAAATCCGTGGCAGGGAGGGCCAGATTGTGTATCACAGAAACAGAGTAGGGCACACTAAATACAGTAGGTCCTGCACTGGTTCTCCTGGCAGGCCAAAAAAAAGCCTTCATGCCCCAAAGGACACCATCCCTCAGCAACCCACTGTAAAGCCCAGAGTCTCTCAGCCCCACTGAGTAGTTATCACCGTTTGGCACTTGTTTGTGCATTTAGTTACACTTCTCCATAGCAACCACACAGATCCCAGCTTGACTTGCCACCAGGCAGGAGCGGGTGTGTGGAGCACGGTGCACCAACGCTCTCAGAGTCGTGTTGGTACGTGCCCAGGCTGGGCGCTGACTCCACGTCTGCTCTCCTGGGGGGGACCCACACTGCGGGCGTGGTGCGGTGACTTTGGCAGGGGGCCTGAAGCTGCACAGGGAACTGGGTGCTCTCTTCCTCGCAGGTATGGATGCTTGTAGACAGTTTACTGGTGCTGAATAATGGACACCAGCCCCTGCCGCAGGGCTCTAGATGTTGTCTAACTCAAAATTTCTACTGTTCTTGCCTACCAGGGAAAGTTTTGAGCTTTTTTCATTTTCACAATTCCTCCTGCAGCCTTTCAAGTCACTGCCACGATCCACTCTCCTTTGCTGACATCCCCGTCAAAATTGCCCTGCTCTTTTTTGATTTATTTGTATTTGGCCTTTTTCTGCTTCCTCCATGCCAACTACAGAAAGCAGAAGGCACCCGCCCTCCTGCTTCTCCCAAGACCCTCACAATTTTGCTTAAAAGAGTTTTGGTTCATTTTACTGGGCTGGGCTTCAGTTTGTTTAAATGTTTTTCCAGCATCTCCTCTCAGAAAGGGTAAAAGAGAATGAAAGAAGGTTTGGAGGCAGGCAGTAAGGATGTTCAGAGATATGGGAACAAACTGTACAGTGAAAAACAGTGTAGGCTGGGACTCTTGAGCTTGGAAGAAGGACACAGGGTGGAGAAGAGGTCTATAAAATCATGAGTGGCCCAGAGAAGATGGGGAGGATTGATTATTTGCTGTGTCTTCTGACGCAAACCTGTCAACCGCTTTTGCCTTGACTGGAGCCTCAAAGGCACAAGAAACCACTGTGCTGCAGGTGTTGTCCAAAGGTTCAGTGCCCTTTTCAGCCCACACTTCTTGCTACATTGGGGGCGAAGTTCATGGCACGCCTTTGAGAGGCGTGCTTTAAGAGTCCTGCCTCAGAAATATTTTGTAACCATGTTTTCACGTGGAGAACTCGGCCACCGCCAAGTGGACCTTTACCAAATTGTTCAACAGAAAAATAGTCAGAGTTGGGAGGAGAATGAGCTGGATGAATCCCAGCCTAGAGAAAGAGTCCTCCAGAGGGTTGTATCTTGCAGGAACCGTCTTGTAGGGAAAAAGGGTTGCCACTGAGACTGTAATTTTTCTGCTGCACTGCCAACCCCACAGCAGCCTGCAAGGGTGAGTGATGAGGCCTCCTGGGTTGGTTGTCCTGTTCTACAGAAGAAATCCCCCTCCCCTGACCCTGCCCTGGAAAGTAAGTGGAATTGAGATGGTCCTACATTTTCTAGGACCACAAGAGGGCAACATGAGAGCACCCTGCAGCCAGCAAGGCTCAGCAAGGTAACCTGTGACACTGCTGGGATGCAGGTGGCATGGGCAGCTGTGTGTGGGCTCAGCATCACCCTGTCCAGGGACTACCCAGCTGAATTAACCAACTGAGAGCGCTTTTGTTCCTCTCAGCTTCATACAGATCCTCAGAGGTCAGCAGTCAGCTCAGCCAGCAGAGCTAGTGCCGTAGTTGGGGGTAGCAATATCTTCCCACAGAGGGGCTGGACACAAGGTGACAGCAGACCCCTGTGTGCTGCATGGGGCCAGGCCGTGGGACACGGGGTGCCCTCCCTCGTCCTGCCTGCATGTCCACCACGAAATCTTTTGGGTGAACGTACACTGACATGTGGCTTCAAGCAGGAGGGTCCAGCATCTGCAGTGATGCTGCTCGGCTTGGCCAGTGGAAAAAGTGTTAAACCACATGGAATTTTGAGCATCTCAGCCTCGCCATTCTTTTTAATTTTCTTCTGCTACAGGAAAAAAAAAAAAAAGATAAAATTGAAGGCTTGGAATTCAGCTTTGGCTGTGACTGCTGAACAGGGCAGTGTTTCCAGCCCACTCTGGCCTCTACAGACCAAAATCACTCAGCCACGATTAAGTGCATTACCATTCCTGGCACTTTGTAGCCTGTATAATTATTCTGCAAGGGACAGCTTCCTCTGCCTTTACAAGAACTGGCATGACGGAGAAAAAGCTTCTGTTAGCAGGCAGAGCTACAACTGTGTGTGTGCTGCTAATGCTGAAAATGCCACCAGCATCTTGTAGCACAGGCAGAGGAGGAGGTGACAGTGAGGGATGAAATGCAGAATATTGCTTATGCAGAAGGGTGATACAGGTTGCTCTCAAGAAATGAAGAGACTTTGGAAAAGAGGAGAAGCAAAGGGATGTTTGGGGGACACTTTTTGGACAGGCTTGAGACAGAGAGACAAACAGTATAACCAATGGCTGTATGGGAGAGATAGAGATAACCAGCCAAGGAAAAAGAAATCACCGGGGCATGCTGTTTATCCCTCTGGAGTTATTTATTTTCAATGAAGAGTGCTAGAAAGGTTTTGCCTGCTTAAGATATTTTTACCATGGAAATAACCAGCTTCGTTTCTACTCTTGCTTCCACTCCAAACCTGCCTGCACGGCCTAAGCAGCATTTTAAGCCTCAGTCTGTAGTACCCCACCTCACTGAACAATGGATCCTGTCTCTCCTAACCCAATTACAACTCACGTGGCTTATGTGGTACCTGCACAGCACACTGCTGGCATCAAACATCCACACTTCCCCATTGCACATTGACAGGACCAAGGTTCAGGGTATTTGTCTCAAAGGAACATCAAATAACTTGGCCTGCACTTCTACTCATCATCAGTTGTAAAACCTCACATATTTGCTCCTGTGCTCAGACTAATAGTTTGTGTTGGCTATAGCAGACCCCCCAGCAAACCATCTAGTTTGGGCCTGAAGACATAAGGAGATGGGATCATCTTTGGCTTTTCCAGCATGCATCATTTCAGCCTGTCTGACTACCAATAGTCCAAACTAGCTACTAGAAAGTCCCATCTGCACATCAAGATCAGGATATGACCTTGGACCACCACTTCCCAACGTTGCCAACCAGCAATAGGTGTGCTACATATGGTTCAAACTGTCTTCAGAGATGCTCACATCACTGCCTGCTTTAAAACTGACCTTCCCCTAACTTTAGGGTCTACAGGCAGCAAGTGTCCTTACCTGAGGGAGAAGTGTGGCACTCACACCCAGAGGACTAGTGCCAGGATTCGTGTGCCCAGGTGAGTGCAGCATACACGAAGGCCTGGGTTCATTATCCCTGGTATGCACTAGTGTCTGGGCTTCTCAAGTGGGCTGTAGCAACTGAGTCCAGGAGTAAAGGGAACAGAGCTCTCTGGGATGAAGTGACTGCAGGAGAAGAACTCAGCACACACAGACACCAGACACACTTCCCAGGGAACTGTAGCCCAGGCCCATTTTGTTGTGAATGACTTCACAATTTGATCAGGGATTAAATACTTCCTTGTTTAATAACCTAATAATGTGGGCTAGTTTCATGCTGGACTGTTGGAAAGTTCACTGTTGGAGTCATCAGCCAGACCTCATGTAAACGGCTTCCCCCAGCTCTCTGCCAAGTGAGCTGTCCTCATCTTTGGGTCCCCCGGCGGGTGGCTCTTGGCACAACTTTCTTCTGAAGGGCTTTGTTGTTCACGCGTGTGCCTGAGGCTTTACGCTCCGGGGGCTTCCTCACCACTTCTTGTTTGAGCTGGAAATGCACCTGGAGAAAGAACAAAAATAACTGTGTGATACCTATTTATATAAGGACTACACCGAATAGCGGTAGAAGAACCCCTCAGCAGGTTTTTCCTAGGAGTTATTTCGCCGTCGACGAACTGTCAGCACCTAAAACCGGACAGTTCATGAAATAACAGTTCATGAAATAACACATTTATTATACAAATTTGTGAGAATTTGTGGGGTTTCCTGTGTCTGGAATAGGGTCTAACTGCAAAAAAAGCACACTTAAACTATGTAGTGATAATAATAATAATACAAAGCATGGGCACACATGCTAAAGCAAAAGCAGCTTACAAAGAATATTAATACCGCAAAACCTAAGCACCCGCCCTAAAGCAAAAGAACTAACAAAGAATAAGTAAAGATTTTAAAGTACTATAGAGCAAAAGTAAAATTAGTGTATGTGTATAAAGCAATTATACACCCCAAGGTGTCCCGAGAAGGTGGAGGCTGAAAAGGTAGCCCATTGGTTACCTCCGCAGCGTTGATGGAACTTCTCCCCAATTTTTACTTATGTCAAATCTCTTTTTATACCTTTTTCTTTAGGCAGTTTTTGAGTGGCTATAATTAGTAAACTAATTTTGGGGTGATAGACAGATGAAACAGACCTAAGGATCCACTTGCGAGTTCCAGTCAGCCAGGATGGCAGCCAGGTTGTTCACAAAAAAAGGCTGTGTTATCTCCATATCACTCCTTTCTTCATTTTAATCCTTTTATCAGTTTCTGGGAATATCTCCCCAGGTGAGGGGTATTTTTCCAGGAAACCATCAGGAGGGTTTTCTTCCTCTTTTGTGTGGCCTTATCTATCACCTTACACTCTGTAACAGCGGTGCATGTGTGCTGCTGGCTCAGAGGTCTGTAGGACATGCTTCTACCTGACTCTGGGGCCAAGACAAACAATAAGGGGCCTCAGGCAGTGTTAAGGGAACTCAGTTCTTGAAGCAGCTGAAAGCTTTTTTTTTTTATTGTGGAAAATGTTGTACAAACAACGAGCGACATTTCTTATACAGTTGCTCCTGTGGCAATGTGATGTCCTAGGATGGTTTGGAAGAGGAGCTGTGAAAGGCAAGGGACTGACCTGTGCTCTTTCTTCACCTTTTCTTGCCAGAAACATAGCATTGCTTTGCATCTCTGTGAATATTTAATACATAGGATACTTCAGGTCAGAGAGTTCTTTTTCAATTTCATCTTGTTAGCTGAATCCTGCTTAATGAGTCTTTCAGCAACCAGTGCTTTCAATAGATGCAGGCAAAAAAAATTTCAGGAAAGAAACCCTCATCCACTACAGCCATGCAAGCAGGTACAAGAGGGAGAAGAGGACAACAAGCATGCAAAACACAGCATCAGATAAATGGGGAATGGGGAGGCCATACAGAAAGGTGAAACTGGAATCGGGCTGTATGGGCTTCCTTGGGGAGGGATGGAGTGAACAGCGGGTATGGGAGGTACTGCAGAAATGGGGACAGAAGGGCTGCTGTGAAAGGAGATCTCCAAAAATCAGATCATCAGGGAACAAATCAGTCTTCTACAGTAACACAGTAAAAAGAAAATCTATTTTAAAAAGGAGAGCCAAAGAGCTGGGTGCTTAACCTAGCAAAACAAAGGCTAGGATTGGGCTTGACAGGTCTCTATAAATACACCAGGGAATAAATACCAGAGAAGAAGAGTAGCTATTTAAAGCACAACATTGGCACAAGAACAAATAGGGATAAACTGACCATAAATAAATTTAGGACGAAAATTAGATGGTTTCTAATCCTGAGAAAAGGGCAGTTCTGGAAGAACTTCAGAGGCTGCACAGAGCAGGATGAAGAGATGGACAGTGGGAGAACAACCACAGAGTATTTACAGCAGAGCCTGACCAGTGTACATGCAGCAAAGCAAATGATGTGCCAGGATGCCACGGGGGGGTGTGTTCCTGATGGTCCTTAGAGGAGGCTGCATCTGTGGTTCCACCATGTTCACAAGGCAACAGCAGGGGCAGGGATCACCATACACTGTTTTTGTAACCAGTTTCTAGATGTCCAGCCTGCCCTCAGAAAGGTACTGTAGAAGACACAGCAGTGTCAAGAGCACTTCATCTCCCAAAGGTGCTTGGCTGTTCTTTGTTGGCACCCAGTTTCCATCTACCTTGGGTGTTCTCAGCAGAAAGAAAGGCAGACTTCAGCCCCTTACTATGAGTTTGATAATGTGTTTGGTCCCAGGCAGAATGCAGATGATATCAGAGTGCTGAAACCCACAAAGCTAGAGGAACAACTAAACCTCAGGGAACATGTGCTATCTCCACATCATCTCATCCTGGAGAGTGCAGAGAATGGAATGAGAGCTAAAGACCAGCAGTCCCAGCCAGCCAGGGGCTCTCCCTATGGCCAAGTGGCAGAGGGACACAGAAGCTGTCATGGCAGCCCAGGGCAGCTGTGAGCCCTCAGTAAGGAACTGAAAGGCACATGACATTGTCTGCACCTTGATTCCCTCTGTGAGCTGCAAGGAGCCCTGTGTCTGCCAAAGCAGCCAGCCTATAGCCACAGGTAATGCTTGACACACCATCTCCTTTCTCTGCTGCTCACTAAACATTCCCTACTGCATTTCTTTCTCCCTGGGGTGAAGATATTTTGAGAAACCCTTGTGACTATGCAGCCTGACTCACCAATGAAGGTGCAGCTGGGCCCACTGTTGTTGTCACCGTCTGGGGATGGTACCCCTCTGCAGAGGCTGTGACAGTGTAAGTGCCAGGCAGCAGCAGCCGGAAATAATCCCCCATATCACCTGGAACACAAGGCAGGAAGAGAAAGCACTCAGGATGTTCAGGGAGCAAAGCAAAAGACATTCCAGTTGTTCTTGCTGAGGTACTTCCTCTAGGTTGTGCAGCCTTCAAAACCCAGAATTTTTTTCCTAATCTGCTGGCTACTGCAAGGCTGGATTCACTTTGGTATGCTGCAAGTGATGTCTCTTTAGTGCCAAGGAGGACAGGTCAGTCTGCAGGTAAATGTCAAGTGAAAGGGGACTGTACAGCAGCATTGGCTGTGTCTGTGTAGGGAGCCTGTAAATCTGAGCGCTCACCAGTCAGATGACAGCAGACCTAAGGGCAATCACAGCTCCAGTGTGACTCCTTATGCATAACACAATCTCTAATCCCTGTCACACACAGTTTTGCCACATTTGGGTTAGCAGGGTTTTAGCTGCTCATCAGCTCAGCTGCTCCCTGATTCTGCCTGCATAAGAAAGCCCCAGGAGCACTTTGACGGACCATGTACTGGTATACTATGTGTGGCCAGCATGGTTTGCTTCCCAAAGACACTAGCTGTGAGAAACATGCCTGTGCGTCCTTGACCAGAGAGGGCTTAGGAAAGCCTAGGGAAGAAAGAGGCAAGAACAGGGACAGGAGACAACCAACAGTGAGGTAGCACCACATTATGGATCACTTTGACAAATGGAGTATAATCCCATCTATGGAACTAGATGGGTATTGCAAATTGCCTCAGAGTGGATCAGGAAGCACAGCTTCACTGTGAAGGTGGTACAGCCCTGGCACAGAACAGCAGAAAGGCTGTGAAATCACCATCCCTGGTGTCAGTGAGAATTGGCCAGAGGGAGCAATGGCTAATCAGAGCCAATGCTGGGGACAATACTGCTCCAAGAAGGTGGCTGGACAGGAGACCCCAGAGGGCCCTTGGCAGCCAGCTCTTCTGTGATTCTGTGATTTCTTCCACACTCCCCTTTCCTATGCAGGTTGGCATAAGTGTCAAATATTAGAGTGTTACTGAGTCACAGATCTATGGCCAGGAGGAGTTTTGATTATTATGTAGTCTGACCTCTGAAGAGCTGTAATATCGGCTATTTTCTGCAGCCAGTCTGTAATGTTTGGTCTGCTTGGAGGAGGGTGTTCGTGAAAAGGAGGTTAAAATTGGACAGCAAAGGAGAAACAACCACAACTTGGATAAGATATAGTGGCACTTCATTCTCAGTCTAAACTTGTCAGGCTTGAACTTTCAGTCTTTTATCTTATTCTGCTGTCATAATATTTCCTATCCATTGTTTCAGCTCTTTGTATATAGTTAGATGCTTGAGTAGATTATCCTCTCAATCATCTCTCTCAGATAAAATAGGAGCTGAGTTTCTGAAGTCCTTTACCATAAGGTTTGCATTCCAGTTCTTGCCTCTGTCTTCCCTAGGCTTTCCTAAGCCCTCTCTGGTCAAGGATGCACAGGCATATTTTTCACAGCTATTGTCTTTGGGAAACAAACCATGCTGGCCACACATATTATAGCCTCACCTGCTAACATCCACCCACATATCCAGATAGCCTCCAAGAGGCTATATTTAAAAAAGACAGAACACAAGGGGACCAGCAACCCACCAGAGGTGATGTCATGGCTGATTCCCTGGACGGAAATCACTGCTCCTGCAATGCCGTTGTTGTTCTCGTCTGACACCAGCCCTTTGATGCCCTGGTGAACCTGCAGGGAGGGACACAGACTGATGGGTCAAGGGCCCTCCTTTGCTCAAGAAGGTATTGCATCCACTCCTAGTGCCTACTGGTCCCCTATCACCAGGGCCCAAAGGGACCTGCAGGAAAGGTGAAGGTCTCAGGACTGCCCCCTTACCTCTTCAATGAAAGCAACAAGGGCCTCTCGGTTGGCCATCCACTGCCGCTCCAGGTCCTCCTCGGGGGGAAACTTGTTGCAGCTCAGCTCCAGGGTGATTTCAAAGCAGTTGGTGTAGAGGTAATTGAAGTCCTGCATGCCTGAAAGAGAAGAAAAGCCTGTGGCCAGGGCAAGGCCCCCTTCCCTCCCCATTCCCATGTCCCAGTCATCCTGGCCCCTGTCTTTCTTCAACCAGAACCATCCAACTCTTCTTTAAGCCACAGGAGCAACCTCCTCCCTCCATGACAGTGTGATTAGAGCCTCCCCCCCATGCAGCCCTCCCCCTGTGGCTGCCCAACTCTCTCTTTCAGCTGGATCATTCACCACTCTGCCTTCAGAAGATCAGGGAGGTTGGGTATTACAGGTGCCTCTGTCCAGTTCCTCTTCAATCTTCTTTCTAGCCTAAAGTGTTGACTTTGTTGTCTTCCCTTTGGTCAGTTGTGGGTTTTGATGGAGTTATGCTGTAGCATTTTCAAATACACTAACAGATTAATGCTTCCTTTGTCCAGCAGCACACACCAGGTCTCTGCAGACCTTGACTATTTCTTTGGTTCTTTCTCAAGCCACTTCCAGTATTCCCAAGCCATTTCCTGGTCTGAGATGCAGACACCAGAATGGTGTCTAGTAATGGGCACAGTGCTATTGCCACACTCCTTCCCCAACACATTCTATCCTGAGGTTTGTTGTCTATCCCTTCACCTCTCTTCAGGTCAACACTTTGCTGTGGGTGTGCTTACCTGCCCAGCCCTTACCTTTGCTGAGCGAGTACCAGGATGCCCCATTCGTGATGCCATCGGCAAAGTAATCCCCGCAGTTCCAGCCACGGTGCATCCAGCCGTGGGCGTACGAGTAGGTCTTGGCCAGCTAGAGGGAGAGCAGCCACGGGTCACTGCTCCAGCCCCGTGAGGCTGGGGAACCTGCCTGGCTCTGGACAAAACATGCTCCCTCCTGCACAGGCTTCACTGAGGAGCGTGGGAGGGAAGTCAGACAGGAGACAGCTCTTGCATTTTACCGCCACGAAATACAACACAAGGTGTTCAGGACCTCTACAAAATGTAGGCAGATGAAGGCAGAGGAGGAGCAATATTCTGGTAAGCTGGAAGCTTGCTGATGTCACACGTGGCTTCTGCCCTGCTCCCACTGAGAAGAGGGGGAACAGAGGGCACTGGGCCCATGAAGGGACACTCAGCCCCATTGATGCTGGGCCCCACAGCAAACGGCACTAACAGGGGGAGAAGACAGGCGAAGAAAACTAACCACTCCTGATGCAAATACCATATAAATCAGGGGAATTTGGCTTAGGAAAGAGTTTGGACAACTTCTTGTTCTAGCAACCACTTCTTTATTGTCCTTATTACGATTACTGCTTATTTTTAGACACGAAAGCAGAGCTAAAACTGGGCTGCTGCATCCAAAGCTAGTCCTTTGCATAGGACACAGTTTAAGAGAGACTGGCATTTTCATTTTCTAATACAAACTCTATATCCTTGTATTATGGTGTTATGGTGTAATCTCATTCTTTCAGCAAGAAAACAGTTACTTCTCTACATTTCTGACTTCTGAGGCTATGTGGGTATCATTAGCCAACGCCCCAGACTGCAGTCTCTTTACATCTGGATCTGAGCACAGTTGTGATCCCAGGAGGTCCTGGCAAGCCCCTGCATAGATTCTGCTTCCAGAGAATGCGGAACTCCAACTCAGACTTATTTTTCTCATTAACTGTTCTGACGCAGACTTGCTTTTTTCTTGTGCTGGGTATTTCCTAATGGAAACAGTGACTGAAGGCATTGTTTTCTGGGATAATGGAGGAAAAACCACAGGCTGCAGCTAGTGCTAACAGGATCAGCAACACAGACTGATGCATGTCCTGATGTCTGTTTATGCTCCTGGTACTCTTGCTGTCTGTTGTATTTCTTGTTTTTCACCACCTGCAAGCCCCTGCTGGGCACTCACTCTCCTTATCCTGCTCTCAGCAGATCCCCAGCCAGACCCTGCAATGTCTCTAGGAAAAAAATCCTATGCATGCTACGATGGAGTGGCAAAGCTGGGGGCAGGCTCCAGCTCTGGAAGAGCAGGTTGGTATTGAAGACATCAGTGGTACTGGGGTTATGGGGAACCCAAGCACAGCACAGACAAGGAAGGTGCTCCTGAGGGTTAAAACTGGCCTGTCCTTTTGGTGGGACCGGCTCACAGTGGGACTGCCCTGAACCTGGCACATGAGCTGATGGCTGGCAGAAATGCCGGAGTCTGCTAATGGTTCATTCCAACACGTTTCTTGGCTCAGCTCCTGCATGACGCAGCGACCAGAGACTCCTATCCAGCTCTCACACACTGCACCCTGCCAGGGAATGCCCTCACGTGGCTGTGCTCACCTTCTGAAACAACTTGTCATCAGGGGTAGGTGTGTTGACCGTGCGCCGGTGGCTCCTGAACCGCTGATCTTGAGACTTGTCATAGGGGTAATTTGCTACCACTGCTCCACCGTGCAGATTGGCTGAGAGCACAAAGTTGTAGCTGCTGATCCACTGGATCACAGCCAATGTCTCTGGCTCCACCTGTGAGGAGAAGAGAGAAGAGCTCAGCTACCTCTGGGCCAGCTGCTGCTCTATGCTGGGCTGCGGTGTGATCGGTCATATCAGACCCTGTCCTGCAATGTGTCTGCTGCAGCCCTTGCAGCTTCCTCTGTTCTTCACCACCTGCCCTGATACACAGAGCAGGCTCCTCCTGTGCATATCCTGCAACAGCTGTCCCAGAACAACCCCAAAACCTGAGACACAGGCATTAGCTAGCATGTGCTGTGATGCCAGCCCCTCCTCCTGGCAGAGGTGCAAGCTGTGATATAGGACCAGGATTACATCATTTCTCTGCATGAAGAAGGCTTAGAGAAGGAGTCAAGCACCATGCAAGCCAAATGACAGTGTATTTGCTTGCATGCTGAGACACTCTAAAAGCTCTCACAGCTTCCCAGACTAGTACCTGGCTTTTCCAGTTGTCAGGCAGTGGGATGTGGTGATTTGGCCCGCTGATTTCCCTGCTGTAGTACATGAGTGTGTTGAGGTCAGGGAAGTTGCGGTTCAAGTCCACTCCATTGGCATTGTTCCTCCCTGTCAAGTACCCGTTGCTGTCTGGGCCCTGCAGGGCAAAGGTGCATCACAGGGGTGAGTACAGGGTGGGTGCAGGCAGGTTGGGTGTCAGAAAGGCAGGGACTGGCCACTGTAACAGCACTTCAGTGCCTTTGAGTCACAACCCATCTTATTGCTGGCAGGACAATAAAGAATATTGGTACTGACAGGCAAAGTCAGTAACAATATCTTCATTTTCCAGGGTGACAGAGACAAATAAACAATTTGCCTTAACTGAAAGAGCTATGGATATCTCCCTGAAGTCTAGCAGTACAAAGAAACTGGTGAAGATTTGTGGGAGGACTAGGGGGCTTACTCCTCCCCCATCTCTCATGTCCCTGCCTGCTCATCAGCTGCCACTTCCCTAGTCTGAGGCAGGGGATTTGCAGTGGCCCTCCTGTGACAAATAACTTCTAAGGAGAGTAAGATAGTGTAGGAAGTCTCCTCCAATCAGCTTCCAAGGTCACCTGTGGCAGGACACACAGTGCAAGCCCTTGGCATGGGAGGTGAGAAGCAGCGACACCAGCTGAGGGGACAAATTTGGCAGGGCATGAAGAGGAAGCATGCCTGCTCCTCCTGACTGTGGGGAAGGGGATTCCAGAGGGATTGGAAGGGTTTTCTGCCCCTACCCAGCTGGAGAAGGCAATCGCTGCCTGGTACCTGCTTGGCAGCCACTTCGTACCCGTCGGGGTTCATGGAGGGCATGATGTGGATGCGCGTGTCATGGATGAGGCGGGTGATCCGCTCGTTTCCCCGGCGGTACTCCTCGCACAGGAACTCAGAGAGCTGCAGCAGCAGCTCACGGCCCAGCACCTCGTTCCCATGCATGTTTCCAACATACTTGAACTCTGGCTCCACTGGAGAGAGCAAGAGAGTGACAACATCAGCCAGCGCAGGGACAGGAGGGAAGAGCAAATTCCTACCACAGGGAGCCCCAGGCAGACACCCAGTAAATGGTGTAAAATTACCCTTTCCCTTGGAAAATGCAAACCTCAGCAAGGGAGACTGGCACAGTTCTCATATGGGCTCCCCTCTGTTTTGCCACAGCACTCCTGGGAGCAGTTCAGGCTCCTCACCAGGTTGGTTTAGGCCTTTGGACCACACAAGAGGAGTATTTGCAGGTGGTTTCATCTTAGACTGGGGAGAGACAGCACGGAGGGACCAGGGAGCATTGGCAAGATTGCTGCCACCCTGAGCCCTGGGGTGCCAGGGCCTCACAGCAATGTTGTGGGTGGCAGTGGAGGGAACAGGCCATTTCTCTAAATGAAAAAAAAACTTCTTTAAGGAGTTGTTCATTACTTGTCAGGATAATACCAATTCCTGGATTGGGGTGAGATGTGCTCTTTCACTGGAAGAGCAGAGTCACCTCTGACTGCTGTCATCAGCCTTGACTCCCGGGCTGATGGGAGGCAGCAGTGGTTTCCTCTCTCCCTCCCCTTTACCTACCTCCAAGGTCAAGGTTTAGGGCCTTCCTCACCCTCAAGGGACAAGAACCTGGAAAAAGCCCCAGCAGCTGAGTTGAATATGAATCAAACTGTCCCTCAGGCAGCTCCAGTAGGAGCAAAATGGTCTCTTACCACCGACTTTTCTAAAATAAGGTCTCAAAATACAGACTTGGAGACCACAGACTGTGCCCAGAGTAGGACTTGCTGCTTTGCTGAAGGAGAGGTAGGACACATGAGGGATGGGTTATGCTTTCCCAGAGGGTCTTTTTAAAGCAGTTACTTGTGGGAAAATAAAATGTCAAATTGAAGCTAGAGTCAGCCTGGTAGGATGTGAGACACCAGGGGAAGTCATTTATAAAGGGAGCCTGACTGTCACATGGAAAGGTCAGGAAATAAAAAGGGTGTTGTTACAAATGTTGGCTTGCCAGAGCTTGAGACTCCCATTGAACGGTGAGTTTTCTGGCCACCAGCAGGGATCAGACTTGCAGTGGCAGAATGCAGCCTTGCTGCCACGTATGGTGTCCACGAGGATCCCTGGGGTACAAGGCATCGCAGCTCCACATTGGGAGCTGCTGCTTGCAAAAGCCCCTGCACCTTTGCTGCACAGGGAGGAGACACCACATCCAAAAGAAACATCTAATTTTGACTAAAGATTTTGCTTTTGACGAATCTTTTGATTGCTGTGTCTCAGCGCAAGATACCAGAAGTGGGCAACATATTTTGACCTTGTTAGATTTCAGGGACATGAGAACTGATTTAATTAGATAATTCAGTTACTAAAAATATAGAAAAATCCTGGGCATATGTGCAGCCTTTAAAAAAATAAAGTCTCAGCAGGGATTCTCTGTTTTGTTTGAGTCTGCAGCAGGACTTGTCAGCCTTTTTCAGTATGCAAACGGCTAGTCTTTATGCACATGGATACACAAGCCCTAATTAGTGCATGTAAACCCATTGACTCTAGGCTTACTTTTTGGAGTTACTTTCCATGTCCTTTAAGGAAATCCACAGTTTCCCAAATTCCTTGTGCTACAAGCTGAAAGTGACAGCCTGAGGGTGGCCAGGTTCATGCTGCCTGCCTGGGGCAGGGGAAATCTGAGTCTGGGCCTTTTCAGCTGCTCTCTTGTGGTTCTGCAAGTGTAAAATCCAGTGGTGCATTGCCAGTGCCCTTTGCCCACTCCTTGCATTGAATCAGCCCTTGATGCACTGTAGAGGTGCCCCAGGTGTCCTCAGCAGGTTTCCCTGTCAGGAAGCCAAACAGGGCTGTCGTAGAGGTGGTCAGGGTGGGAAGTCTCCCATCTCACCTCCTGGTACCTCTGAAGATGATACTCTGGGCCGCAGGAGTGGAGCAGCATGCCCCCAGTGCAGTGCGTCCTTGGGCAAGCTGCTGCTAGGCATGGGGTGCTGTGGGGTTTGTGGGGCTGCTCCACTGAGGGAGGTACAGGTTCTGGTTCCGCTCACCCCTGCAGCACTGCTGGCAGTTTTCCATGTGACTAATCTGCTTGGACTTGTTGGCCCCTGCATTTAACCACATCAACCAGGATTTGAAAAGGCAAAAGATCGTGCAAAAAGTAAGCAGAGCTCTGTCCTTATCTGCAGCCCAGGGGCAACAGGCAGGGATGCGAGGGAGTCCTGTGTGCAGCCACCCAGCCTGGAGAGCCAGCTGGTGCCCTTAGCCACCTGGGGCACTTAGCTGTCAGCAAGGTCTGGCTAGGCAGTGTCTCCACGCTACAGGCAGCAGCTCAAGGGGCCATTGCTGCCAAGATTCCACAGGGCCACGTGGCAGCAGGTGGAGATCCGTGAGAACAGCCTGTCACTGGGGCTGCACAGCCCACGGGGCTGGCAGGGCTCTGGGAGCCCAGCGCCTGCTCTGCCAGGGTGCCTGCTCTGTCCTCCCGGCTTTGCGGTCTGGAGGAGGAAAGCACGAACTGTTCCCTGCCAATACCCAGCAGCAAAGGGCAGAAGGTGGGTGCTGCCTCTCCTTGCCTGAGCAACACTGTTTTGGGAGGGAGAGGGTGGCAGGGCAGGTGGGGTGCTGGGATAGACTCCCCTGGTTTCTCGCATTAGCTTGCGCTGAAAACTCAGCGCTCCGTCCAAAGTGCGCGCCCGGGCCGCGCTGCAGCTGCAGCTCACGAAAGCACAGTGCAGGCGTGCGGGCTGGGCGTGCGCGCCCCTGGGCTGGCTGCGGGGTCTCCGCTGGAGACGGCACTGCCCGACACCTGGGCGTTGCCAGGAGTCCTGCCTGGACAGGGAGATACCCCCCACCCAGTGCCCCAGCAGTGCCGCGTGGCAGGGAGCGTGGCAGCGAAGCCCGTCCTCTCGGAGCCGCTGTCCCCATCCCCCCGTACTTACGGGGCTCATGCACGCCCGGGGAGTCGCTGAACTCCAGCACGTAGAGGTGTCGGCCCTCGACACTGCGGCCGATGCTGTAGATGCGGGTGACGTAGGGGCACTGGCTCTGCACGCGGAACAGGGCCTGCACCAGCTCCTCGTAGCGATGGTGGAGGAAGCTGAGGGCGGCCGCCCCCTCGAGCAGGAGCAGGGCTCCCACCAGGGGCCGCAGCCACCGCGCCATCCTCCCGCGGCGCCGGGCGCCCGGACCAGCTCCCAGCCCCGGCTCCCTCCCAGCCGTGAGCTTAAAGTGCAAACTCCAACCAGCTTTTTCCAGCTGCCGAATGCCAGCCCCCTGCACCTGCGGGCGGGGGGCGGCGGGAGCGGGGCGCGCCGGGGCCCCGCGGTGCAGGAATGCTCCCCCCGCCTGCCTGCCCGCCGGCGAGCCCGTTCTCAGCCGGGGAAGGAGTTTCCCCCCGCTCCAGCTCACTTATTAACCGGACAGCAAACAGGCCCCCGCAGCCACTGGCTGTCACCGCAGAAGAAGCGCAGGGCTGGAAAACTGGCTGCGGAGGGCGTCGGGGCTGCCAAGCGCACGGGGAGCGGCGGGCGGGGGAGAGGAGAGGAGAGGGGAGAGGAGAGGGGAGAGGAGAGGGGGGCGGCGGGCGGGGGGATGCCGTCGCCGAGTCCTCTCGTGGGGCAAGAGCCGAGCGGGGTGGAGATGGCGCCAGGGCGGCCTCACTGGCCGCACGACTCCCGCAGCCCTGCCCGGCCCCTGCCTGCCCGGCGCGGGCAGCTCCCGCAGCTCCTCCCCGGGGTCCGTCCCCGGCTCCACGCCGCGCCTCCTCTCCTGCCCCATCTCCTGAGGAAGCGGAGGAGGCACCGCCGCGGGCTTCGCGGATCAGTCCGATCCTCTGCCCCAGTCCCGCTCACCCGGCTGCTCCCGGGATAAACAGGCAGGGACCGCATCGCCCTCCGCACAGCCACCAGCCCAAACTGCCGAGCTAGGACGGGGCGGGGGGGAGGACAGAGCAACGTGGGGGGTGATGCAGGAGTTGTCTGCTGAGCAGACAGCACGGAGAGCTCCACTCGGTGGTCTGGTATCGCCCTGCTCTGCTCTGGGAGCAGGCATGGGAAAGAACTCCAGTAGGCACTGAGAAGCAGGAGATTGCTCAATGGCATAAAGTCAGATGAAAATGCCCTGCTGTCTGCTAACAAAGAGTTGCAAACTGTTTCTGGGTGTGGGGGAAGTTGGTTCCTCTCTACCCCTCTGCCACCCTTGTCCCAGTGGCTAACAGACACCTCAGGGTGCCTGTGCTCTGCCTGCAGACAGCGCAGTTGCGGGAGGCAACTTTGCTTTGCAGCCTTGCCCCACGAGGCTAAAACTCCAGCAGCTTAGCAGCTCTGACAGACATCTTCATTAGGACAGCCCTGACACAGAGCCCAAATACGAGCACAAACAGCCAAAAAAATTTACCATCACAGCTGGACAGGCCACGAGAAAGGCTCCCTTTGGTAACATGCTATTCTGCTCTGCGCAGGCCATGCTGGAAAGGAGCTCATCCTGCCATTAGCAATGGGCTTCTCAGTGCCATGCCAAACATTTGCCTTCCCTTCAACGTTGAGGTAGATCCATACAGCATTGCTCCTAACTCTCTCTGCTCTAGCTGCCTTTTCCCCCAGCAAAGCAACCTCTACCAGTGCTGCCCACACCACTGCTTTCCTACCTGTTCTCCACATCAGCTTGTGCTGCCAACTGGCTTTCTACCTCAGTTTTCCAGAAAGAGCAGTGGTAAAACCAGGGAATCCCTGTTGATAGCCTCTAATGCAAACAGTACAGGCTGGTGGGCAAAGCACATGGTTTGCCTGCTCATGGCTTGGCTTACTAAGACTTTCCAACTTCAACTTTCTTCTGCCCCAAGCCCTACTATATTTTCCAATATATATATACTTCTTATATATATATACACCTATATATTTTCCTATATACTATATATATACACTATACTTTCCCTCCTTATCCCTGTGCCTTCTTGGTCTTCTGCTCCATCTGCACAGGTTCCCTCCTCCTGCTGTTTTTGAAAAAGTAACCTTCTGAAGACATGACCAGAAAAAGAAAAAAATATTATAAAAATATTATATGCATATAAAGACAGCAGTAACCATATTAATACCTTCTCCTAGTTAAGCTTCATCCCACCACATCCGTGCTTGTCAGCCAGTCTGAAAGCATCACACGTTCAGGAGCAGGAATGGCATTGCACCCATCTGTAGCCGGGTAACAAGAATCAGGGCTGGAGGTGACAATTTCTCCCAGCACATGTAAGAAGTGAAGGCAAAGTAGCTGAAGCTGTGGCATGGGCATTGTGAGCATGGGTGTGGTAGGACAGCTCTTATCTTTACAGCAAGCCACATCTGGTGGTATTTTGCAGAACTGACAGCCCACATAGCAGCGGGAAATGCCCTCGCCTCCTTCACATCCCTGCTCCCAGGCCTGCTGGGTTCCCATGGAGCTGCTCCTTTCCCAGCCTTCAGCAACGAAGGCAATTGGAAAGACCTGGGCGGCTTTCCAGCACTAGCCAGTGTTACTTGGCAGCCAGAGAGTGCTAGGCAGGGCTATAGTAAAATAGCACAAGCCCCATGTTTGGTCTGTTCCCCCCCTCCGTTTTTGCTTCCCAAGCTGCTTTCCGTAGCCTGGGACAGCAGTGGGAGAGTTGGAACTGTAGTGCTGCCAAGGGACACATGAGGAAAGCTCTCACTTTCCTATGGAGAAGAGCAACACTGATGTGAGAAACAACACTTAAAAAAAAGAAATGCCAGACCATTAGAGCCTAAAAAGGAGCCATGAGCAAAATCTTGGGTGGGCGGAGAACACATCTCACACACTACTAGGTCTGGAGAGTTAGTCAGCCTTATCCATAGCATAGGGATGGGGGCAGCCTGTTATCAGGCAGCAGGTTTAAAGTAAACAAAAGGAAATAGTTTTGCACAGAAGACACATTGAAATTACCCTGTCAAAGCTGAAAGTTAAATGAATGCAAAAGAGAATAGGATGAATTCATAGGGAACAGGGGCACCCACAGCTACCAGATCCTGAAGCAATCATTTGATCACAAATTTCTTAATGGCTAGAAGAGAAGGCTTATGACATTTCCCCAACTATCCCTCTAGGAAAACGACATCCTAATCCAGTGATAAATTTGGACATGTTTAAAAACAATGATGAAAGCAGAAACAAACAATATAAGATGTTAGAACTTAGAAACAGTGCAGGAAGTAAATAACGACTTAGTTTGGAAAGTATGGCTAATACATCTGGGATGGATCATACACCCCCCACCCCCCACCCAGATGTTCAAAAATGGAGAAACCTTGAGGCAGTAAGAGAGGAAGCAGGAATGCTCTGTGCCACAGTGGTGAGAGTGAGAGGAATGTGAATGTGAGCCCTGTCCCCTCTATCACTGCATGGCTGGTGGTCACAGTCAGCAAGGAGCTGATCCCTCCAGAGCCAGCCATGGAAAGACTCCATCTGATGGGTTCATTTTAGTTCTGGCCATATTGTTACCAGAGGAAGAATGGAAAATCTGAGGAAAGTTCAAGCTAATAGCCATAAGAATGAGCAAACTGTGGAGAGTTCATGCTGAAAGAAAAATAAAGACCATGGCAAGCATGTTTGCCTTGGCAGAGCTACAGCTGTGGCTGCACACGGAGACACGCAGCCCTGTGAACAAGGGGCACAGGCCCACCGTCCTTCACCTGTTTGGGCGGGTGGGAGGGTGGGCTGCAGTGCCAGCATGATGCCAGTGGTGCCGCCTGGGGGAGGGAAAGGGAAAATGAGGACAGAGGACTGCATCCATCTAGTTAGCAGCAGGGGAGAACAAGCTGCTTTGAGGAGGTCAGGGTGAAGCTAAAGCAAGGAAAGATGGGGTTTGGCTACTAGCAAGCCTTCCTGGGAGTGAGGCCACCCGTGTGAGGTGCCCAGAGCCTGGGAAAGACCACAGTGCCTTTCCCTACCAGGAGGGGATGCTACCATCCACTGTGAACTTCAGATCTGACCCAGAAGAACATCAAGGAACTGACAAGAGAGGAAATCACATCTCAGGATTTTTCCATGTTTAGTGCCAGAAGCTCCATTCCACTACTGGCAGACTCCCATCTTCTGGAAAAGAGCACAAAAACTTTTCTGGCATAAGTTCAGAAGTCTTTATTATGATAAGCATACAGAGACTTGTGTGTGCATCAAAACAAAGATCCATTTCTTCAGGGCTGGGCCACAGAAAGAAAGCACATGGCCTGGGTGGCAGGAACTGTTGTCCTCAGCGTGTCCCCCCAGCCCCTCCTAAACAGTCTGTAGAGCCTGTGATGAAGCTGGCAGCCCTGCAGAGCCTGTGCATCCTTCCTGGCACAGAGCATGGGAAGAATTGGGGTGGAGAAGGAAGGGGTACACATCCAGCCCAGGGTTGCTCTTGGAGAAGCTGAAGAGCCCTGGCCAGCCCAGACACTTCAAATCGGGCTCCCACTGCAGAGGTGATGGCCCCACTTCTGAGAGCTTCCTTTCAAGTGGAGGCTCCCCTGTGCTTTGCTGTAGGGCCAGAGAAGTCAGCTGTAGCCTGTGCACAGAGGAGAGGTAGCTTTATCAGGGAGGAGAGTGAAAGGTACTTAGAGCCTGTGGTGAGGACCAGTTGTTTTCTGCAAGAGGTGAGTGTGCTGCAGGCACCCAGGCTCTCTCCTCTGAGAAGTTCCGGTGGCTTTGCCTCACACCTGACACTTGGGTGAACATGGGAGAGCTCACAGAAGTTATCAGTCCCGGCAAGACCAGACTGCTCCTGCACTATCCAAAGCTATGAAATCTCCCTGCAAGGAACCTTCCCAAAAACGGACCTATCAATATTTGAACCCCAAACAGAGACATCTCACCTTGCTGCAGCACATCTCAGGGCTTCCTAGGAGCCCAGGAGAGCTCTCTCTTCTAGGAGAGACCAAGGTCTGGAATCTTGGCAGCTCAGCAGTGCTGAATAGTGAATAAATATTTGCTAGACAAGAACATGTGGTGTTAAAAGATGCTTTACCCCAGAAAAGCAAAACAGTACAGCAACCAGTGGCCAGATATTAAAGCCAGAAGCTGTCAAATTAGAAATAAGGCACAAATAATTATCAGTGAGGCAGATCAACTGTATTAACAAGAGAAGTGATACATTATTACTGGCATATTTGGACATTCCCTCCACTACCATTAATGGTCTTCCTGTACACATTGGGTGTCTCTGGAACATTTGAACTGAATACAGCTGGGTCAGATACAACACAGAAGCAAAGAAATGAATATTCATTAAACTTGAACTCTTTGAGCAAGGATTTTGAGTCGCCTCTTATGAATAAAGTCCTGCAATAACAGGAGAAATAGGGAGAAAAAAAAGTCATAGGCTGTTCTGTGAAGGTTCACATTCAGGCAATGATATTCAAGGGTCCCACCTTGACAGGATGCCTTCAGTCAACCAGTTCCTGGAGCCTCAGTCTGCTCAAGTGATTTTTCAAATGGCATGTCTGTTGTCACCTTCAAAATTCTAATTTTGGAGAGATTGATTTATAAATGGGATCTAATAGTCACAAGGTTTAAAAAATGTAACATATTTTGTATTTATCTTAGCTTGGGGCCCTTAGGTTACACTCAAGTCATATTTAAAGCTTTAAAAAAAACCCCAAAACTGAAACCAAAAAGCAAGATAATTATGATGGGAGGGAGTAAGTGAAGACACCAGCTGCTCACCTGGCTCTAGAATCAGGAGCTAACAATATTAATACTATGGGACTTGCAATAAAGATACAAAACTTTGTGAAAGCTCTTCTCACAGGTTCTGTATTTGTCCTTTTCCTTTGGCATAAACCCTTAGCAGGGACCAGAAAATCAGACTGGCACAAGCTTTCTTTCCACACCAGCTTCCACATGGAGTTTCTACATCAATTTCTGAAATGTCTTAATGGATCTGCCAGTTCCCATCATGGACACAACTCAGCAGCTGTCAGATCCCCAAAGAGATCTCAGGAGAGGAATTGCCATTTTGCAGGTTTCCATGCTGTTCATGGGGAGAAAGGATGCACCAGCATGTGTGGGGAACTTCTGCAGGGCCTCTGCTTTGCTATGAGGACTCCGTATGCAAGGGAGGTGGCACAAGATGAGGTGTGTTGCAATTGAGGCTGTCTGGGCAGCAGAAGCAGCTCTAATCACATGTGTCTCCTGCATGCCTTCCAGCCACGATCAAAAACTACCATTAGTCTCTCATCTACCTATATTTGCTGAAAAAAACTGAAGGAAGACTGCATCTCTAGCTGAATCCATCTCAGTCTATTTGCAGATAAAACAAAAACTGGTGAATGGACTAACAGTGTGGTGAAGTGTCATTTGTGGACTGAACTGGATAATCTGCTCGGGGGAATATTCTTTGAACAGTGTGTCTTTCAGTGGAGCTACGTGGAAGGCAAAATAGCTTATATTGGAGACAGTGATGCACAATGTGGGACAGCAGCTGTTCTGGAATGCAATTACTGAGAGAAAAAAAAAAGTTGCAATAGTCCAACTGGACAAAACAGTCTCAAAACTTTCTGTTGAGTGAGCAGATGTGGCCCTGAGATATATAAATGGGGAACGCAGAGTATAGATCAAAACCAGAGGATATTACTTTATACACACTATTAATGACTCTACTATCACTCACTGATAAAAACTTTGGTGTTCCAATTTCAGAAAGATGTAAAACTTTTAAAAGAAGCGGAGTCAAGAGCTATAAGTGAGGTCAGCACAGAGCACTTTACAGATTGAAGATCAACCTATTTAATATGATATAATGACAATTTGCAAGCACCAACAAGGAAAAAGGGATTTTTAATAGCAGAGTTACTCAGTCCTTTGGAAATGGGCAGAACAAGGTCCAACAGAAGCTGAAGTCAGCTACTTCAGAGCAAAAATAAGACACAAATTTTTGGAAGAACAACGATCTGCCCAAAGATCACAGGGTAGATTTTTCCCTTACCTTTAGGTTCTTCAATATGTTAGGGCTTCTACTTCCAGGCATAAAGCAGAAATAACTGCAGGATATTTTCATGCCTGAACTGTGCAGAAGAACAGGTTGGGAGAGCATGAAAACTCTGAGTTCTGTGTCTGCGCTTGCCTAAAGGAGAAGGTGTTGTTGGGTGTGCACATGCTGACCCCCTCCTCGCTGCCTGCACCTTTGCTTGGGGAAACATGTGAAGGTACATGTTTACTATGCCTTTTTCTCTATAATATCTGCTTTCTTTTGACCTCCGGCACTTACAGGCCATTAGGAGGAGAGATATCCAAGATTTTGTGGGAGGTAGACAGGCACCAGTGGTTTCTGAGTGTTTTTACAAAAATGGATTTCTGACTTACCTCTTCTTTTTTTTTCAGAACAAGGAATGGAAAAATGGAAGAAAGTGATTCATAAACCCAATCAATGGCATCATCCTAGTTGTGTACTAGAAGATGGGCCTCAGTATGTGCACTCACAGGCCCTGGGTCTTATGGCCATAGGATAAGCCTATTCCATCAGGGAAGGAAAGGCAAATTTTCAGTAATTTTGCTGATGGAAAGCAAAGTTAACCAATGCTGGTTAACTGCTGCCAGCTGTCTATAACAACATTACTTAATAAACATTTTCCGTAGATTGGAGGCTGCTCTATTATCCAGTGACCCTGGATTGCTTTAGTGGGTCTATACCTACAGGCATGCTGATAACACCAGAGTTCCTGTAGGCATAAGCACTCACTACTGGGCAAGGATCCTTGGCCAGTACAAGCTGTTCCTGCAAAAAACAGCAATGCCTGGCTGGGAACTCGTGTCTTGATGTACCCTAGGGGCATGGGAATGGCTCAGTGCGACAGTGAGCCAGCTTTGGTCCAGCAACAACATCAGAAAGATGTGGGAAAAAGGCTTCTTACCACCTGCAAAAGGAGCTGACAGCCACCAGAGCCCAGATAAGGGCTGATGACCACCAGCACACTCAGTTTCTTCATCCTCGTCCCTTCTTTTCCGAGAGTGGCATTTGGGAGCCTGACCCACCTTCAGGGGCCAGTCAGGTGCAAGTGCTGTACCCAGCTGTAGGGCTGCGAGAGCTCAGGGCCCAGGGAGGTGAGCAGAGGTGTGCTGGTGTGGAAAGGGCTCTTGGGAACAGCTTCAGCGGAGAAGGAGCAGGATCACCCTGTGTGTGACAGCTCCCAAGAGCTCAGTGGGATGTGTGACCCTGAGATTGCCCTCGCAGGAGCACTGGCTCCCAAAGATTGCTGCCACTTTTCTCTTTATAATGCTGTGCACAAGGCAGAAATCAACAAGCAGCAAAGTTTCATTGAATGAAAGTACAACCCATTCAAGGAGGGGACACCAGCTTGTCTGTCCTTGGCAGAGAAAGGTGGCGAGCCTGATGTCCCAACATCTCTCAGTGCAAATGTGAGTCAGAAGAAATAAATGCCCTTGTTGTACAGTCAGTAGCTTCAGTGAGAGGAACTCTGCAGTACAGGCTGCTCTGCTGGGGTCTCCTAGCCCTGAACAGCCAGGGTGACATGGCCCCTCTCCCCTCCAGGTTCTTCCTAAACAACCCCCTTCTGCAGGCACTTGGGCTTGTGAAAGAGAAGCCAAGCAAACAGGAGCACAGACACCAGCACAAGGGAGCACAGCACCATCAGCCCTACGTAGCTGCCGTGAGAGAGAGGGGGCACAGCTGGCTCCTCTGCAGGGATCATGTTGGTCAGGTTCAGCATGTAGCCCAGGGTCCAACCTGCATCACTGCTACCAATCTGAAACAGAGGAGGAGCAGAATCAGCACCGGGAGGTGCAGGGGCTGCTTGTAGCATTGCTGGGGCAGTCACCCTCCTGGGGATGAAGGGCCGGGCTGTGCAGTAGGGGTGTGTAGAGTAGAGCCCTCCCCACCATGATACAAACCTTTCCAAGGAAGTGGATCCTTTGCCAGTTATCTTCGGTGAATTCATAGCCATTTTCCAGGAGAGAGAGGATGTAGGCTCCAGAGAAGCAATATTCACTCAGGTACTTTTCTTTGATGTTTTGATACATTGTCTTCACCTAGGGAAGGAGGCAATCACTAGGCTGTTAAACACACCTTCCCACTGCTCCAGCTTGTGCCTGAGCATCCACTATAGGTGCTGGGGGAATCTTTCCCATCTTGCTTTGGAAATTAACCCCAGCCCTTTATCCTACATAAAAGTATCAGCAGCCATAGTCTACCACAACAAGCACTGCTCACCTCTTGCCAAGGCCGGGCACAGAAGCTCTCAATGGTTCTGGTCACTTTGTTCAGGGGAACAGGGCTTGCTTCACCGGCCAAGTTCAAAAAGTTCATCACAAAATAGAAAGCAGAAAAAGCCTGAAGGAGGAAGATTGTTTTAATCTGACTGAACCTCAGCATGAGCAGAACAGCAGAAATCCCATTAAAAAAAATGAGTTTGTTTACAGATAGAGAAGCATAAGAAGCAACATCACACACATAAGAGCAGGTATATTTTCAAGAGTGATGTCATTTTGAGACATACCCCTCAGAACAGCTGAGAGGTGGAGGTAGGAATTATGGTATCCTGAAGAGCTTCTGTAAGCTCTCTCCTTAACATGTGCCAGTGGCATACAGTGAATGCTGATTGCCATCACAACTGTGATCCCGTTTTGGCAACTGAATGAAGAGAGTGTGCAACCAATATCACCACAAAGAGCAGAAGTGATAGTCTGAAAGGACTGTACAGAGCCCCATCATATAATCTGAAGTCCAGAAAACCCCTCTCTGACCATGGCCAGTAGCTGATAGGTAGAGGGCAGTTTATGAACAGGGCAAGCGTGTATTAACAGTTCCTCAGAAAGCCTCAAAGTCACTCAAGTCTTGCAGCGCTAGGACTGATGGTCAGCATGGTGTCACACATAATGTGTGTTGTTCAGTGTGCAGTCTCCTCATCATGTCTGGGAAGCAGACAGGTGAGCTGACTGGTTTTAGTAGCACTCAGACACTTCTGGGTGAATTTCAGGTCTGGTTCCACCACTGACCTCAGGAGACAAGGTTTGTGGAGCAGGGTACCTGCCTGCAGCAGGCTCTCCTGCCTCTGGTACTGGCCATCAGGAAGGACTGCTTAAAAATGAATTAGTAAATACAGAACCCCAAGGAGATGGGTTAGAATGGGAACAGTGCAGTACTGGCAGGCCAGTAGTTACTGAAGTAGCTCTTCCATGTCTGCCCTCACCACAAGTGCAGCACTGCTTTTGTAGGTACATGTCCAAAAAGCTATCTTATAAATGATTTCCTGCCTCAGTCATGAAGAGCTTCTGCTCTTCTGACATTCTGAATTATAGAGAGTTGAAGACTGTGAAGACTCACCCCAAAATCCCCTTGTAATGGAGGTAGGTATATCCCATTGAAGGAGCAACTGGAGTAAGGACAATTGGTTTTGTCGAAGAGTTTCTGGATGTTTTCTCGGCACTTTTGATAATCCCCCTCTCCCTCTATGTACAGCTGGCTGAAAGGTAATTGCTTTTTCTTGTCTGATGTACAAGGGTTTTTGAAGAAGTCACTTATATTTATAGTCCTCTGATACCCCCGGTGAAAGCACGGGTCAAGGAGACTGCTGCTCTCCACGGTCTGAAAGTAAAAATCAACTCAAGCTGTTACACTTCGCTCTAGAGTAACACCCTGAGAAAGAGCCACAGGGAATGGTGGCCACAAAGCACTTGTCATGGTACATCACATCAAGGTGCACACATCAGGTCAAAGGGATGAGGATGGCTTAAGACACTGGCTTTGAGGGGGAAGGTGTGGGTACTGCTACAGCCTCCATGTAGGACCCTGGGCAAATTACTTTCAGCCACAGTTTGTGAAGCTGCTGTTGATTTTGGATTCTCAGAGACTGTAAAATGTTGCCTCCCCTGAGCGAAAGTATTGACTGGCACCTCTTTGGGCACCTTGTGCCCAGTTTTTATGGAGAACAATGATGTTTCCCTAATCCAGACTAAGAGATGAGGCATTTAGCTGGGACACAGCACCAGTATGCCAAAGATGGGAGGGTCCAGGTTCTCCATGTGAAATTACAGGTGTAGATATACTTGCCTGTAGGTCCCTGGCCAGTTTCTGTTGCAGAGCCTGGTCCTTCCCATAGCAGAGAAAGCTGTGTGTGTACACCTGGTAATCCTTGCCATAGAGACGGAAGTAGAGCTGGTTCTCTGGAGACTCAGAAGAGAGTTCCTTTGATACAAAGGTAATCTGTGTTGAGGCTCCTCCGAGGTCTAGTGCTCCTGATGTCTCACTTGTGGATTTCAGGGAATGCAGAAGCTTTTTCCAGCCAGACTTTAAAAAAAAATTAATTTCAAAGTAAAACAGATATATCAGGCATGGAGAAGATTTTATTTTGGAGATAAAAAAAAAAGAGAAAGGCTTATGTGGAGAAGCAGAAGCACAGAACACAGAAAACACAGGAAGTCTTGGAGAGGGACATGACATGAGAACTGGAACATGACACAAGAAAGATGCAGGCTTGTAAATGCATAACGTGGATCACATCACAGTGTTTGCAGGAGGACTAAGAACATAAAATGTAATACAATTGTTATGAGAAAAAGACAGCCAATTTACTGTTTCAGCTCCCAGATGATTTATAAGCTCAATAGTAAAGAATCACTGTCAGACTTTACAGACATAGAAGTATTTTAGATCAGGAAGTGAGAAGGACACTGTACTCAAGCAAAATTATTGAAGATGCTGGTGTTTTATTTCAGTGCTTTAAGCCTGACTACAGTGGTGCAGCCTGACATCACTAAGTGTCAGGATATACTCACGGTAACTGCTGAGGCAAGATGTGCAGCTTCCTGATCCCTGGTAAATGGCTTACAAGGGAAGGTAGTGCTTGCAACAGCTTCTTGCAAGGCATGATTTACAAAGTGCTGCAAGCCAATTATTCAAACATACTTGCTACAGAAATACTACCTGCTTGAAACTGCCCAGAAGGTAATTAATGGTGATCCATCCATAGGCTCCTTCTTCCTGACCAGTGATGATTCTGGCACCCTGGAAGTTGAACGGAGCTAAGCGTAGTGTCGTCTCTACTGAGGACAAGACTTCGTCAGCTGCACTTTCATTCTCCAACCTGGATGAATGGAAGAAAGGATGGAGTGACTCTGGCTGACAGCTCTCAGTAGTCTATGAGCTTTATTCTGCGTAGGCAGGCTGCAACTCCCCACCAAGTGTTAATTATAAGAGAACAGTTATTCATATGGGTCGTCCAGTTCCAACTGGCCATGTCCCTCTCTGTCAACACCTTGACAGCACAGCTGCCACCAGGTCTGACACTTATAGACCCTGGAGCTGAGAGTGATACTTGGAGCGGAGACCAGAGCTCTTGTTCTTCTGGAGCATGTGTCCTGATAGGAATTGCACTGTGGAGATTCCTCTCACTCTTCACAAGAACTATTTGAGAAGAAATCCGGAAGGTATCCCCAGGGAGATCTCCCAGGCAATATATACATCAGATCAGCTCTGAGTTATAGCTAGACAAGAGTTCTGGGGCACCCCCATGAAAAACACAAATAAGAACTAAAGGAGTATGTGATTATAAAGTTACCTTATCCTCTGATGGCCCCAGGATGAGTCAAGATATGTGGGAAGTTACAACATGGTTGAGCTCAAAAATTCTGGGTTAGGCCTAATACCAGATTGTGGGGATGTTTGAGCATCCCTTTGATATGGAGGATGTCTAAGCATCAGCTTGGCACTGCTGATCTCCTGGTGTCTTTGTGCTGCATCTGGATGCAGGAGATGATGGAAGATTGGACTGAGTGGGCAAGCTGAGCAAGCAAGGGAAGAGCCAGGGGGACTTGGGATTCAGAGAGGTCAGCTTCAGAAGAGGGTATCTGGGCACAGTGTGAGCTGGCAGTATCTCCAAGGACTTTTCCCAAGAGGCCCCCACTGAACATCCATGGTGATCCCATCTGCAGTGCTGCAGGAGAAGGGGACAGGCCCTACAGTACCTGAGAAGCCGCATGCCAGCAGTTGCTCCGAGGTAGACAGGTGTCTCTTTGTGCTGCGTTGAGGGAATCACCTCTTTTGCTTGTTGTAGGCACTGTGCCAGAGAGGGACCTGCCTTCTCTGTGGCATGGGAGTAACCTGAGATCCCAGGGCCTGCAAGAAATAAAGACACTTCATTGCTCCAGCTCCAAGCATAACCCCACAATGCTGCCATGAGCAGGTGTATTAAACCATATCACAGGCAGCAGTATCAGATTCAACCCCCCCATTCCTGAGAAGCTTTAGAAATCCTACAGCACCAACTAAACCCAATGCACAGGGGGATGGCCACAGTGCCCAGCATCTGCCACCTGTTCTCCAAGAAGCAGGCTATGAACTAGTGATGAGGACTGCAGTGAAACAAACCATTTCCTGAGCATGTCTTGAACAGCTGCAGACTTCTCTGAGTCTGCCTGAGAGTACCCTGGATCTGCGCCTGAAAATCTCTGACCCTTCACTGTGCTGGGTCCTCCAGGGGCAGATGCTATCTGTTTATGTACTTTATAGTCACACTACAACACTGGGTGTTTTGCAGCTATTGCCTTTCACGCTAACCCAAAGCAAAATGCATTGTCCCTCTCTGCCACGTGTTCCCTGAACTGCCCCAGGCCCAGTGCCTGTGCAGCAGTGAAGCCCAGGCTGCACTCGCCCCAGGTTGCCATATGCTCAGCGTGCTGCCCATGATGTGGGATGGTGCAGTGCTGAGCAGCTATGGCAGCAGCTTGATAATGGTATGGCTCTTCCCTGCACTGCAGGGGCCTGAAAAGACCCCAGGCAGGTCTGACAATACCTCTCATCCCTTCAGAGTGCAGTGATCCATGATGGTCTGTGTTGCTCCTTGTTGTGTGCACCCTTAGGCTTCATTTATGCCTTCCTGAACCATAAAATATCTACACAGCAATTAAATAGAATAAAAAATAAACCATGACATGCTTAAGTTGAGCAACCTTGGGCCTTAAGCCCAGTGCCTAGCTTGCATAGAAGCCTTGAAAAAGAGCAAACCATGCCCTTCCCTCTCACTGCCTGATATTCATCAGCACTTCAGCAAGAGTGCATGCTGACATTTTATTTATTTAAATACATTCTTTGATGTAGATCTTTCCAAAAAGCACTACTTCCAAGCATTCTAAAAACAAAGGAAAAAGTGGATCCATTTTTCCCCCAGGAAGGTCAAGCATATACAGCTCCCCATGGGAAGAGGTGGGATATACATTAGCTCACAGATTACAAAATAAGAATACTCACGGGATATTCTGAAATGGAAGGGACTCACAGGGATCATCAAGTCTAACTCTTAAGTGACATAACACTGTTTTCAATATTGGCCTCTTCTCCTGGGTTTCTCCTCCCTAACCCTTTGATTGCATTATCTCTTCTTCATCCCATGCCCCTTCCATAGCTCCCTTTCCTCCTCTTACCTTCAACTTTACACACCTCCACCTGCTTCACCACTCCAGTGTCGTTCTCCTTCTCTGCTGGCCACTCGTACACATAGAGGTTAGTGTGGGACGATCCCGCATCCAGCACAATCCCGTACTGTGGGCAAGACAGAGCCACTATCACACCTGAGGCACCAAACCACACACAGTATGTGCTGGCCTCCACACACAGGGGGACCAGAAGCGAACAGCTTATCTGGCAGCTGTGGGAATATGTGTCATTACTCTTCTCAGCAGTGCTTCAGTGTAAAGTTTCCATCAAAAGATACAAGAGCAGAAAAGCAGCAAAATTGAGACTGATTACTTAAGAGATGATCCCCTATGAAGCCATATCTGGTTTTACGACAAAGATGTAAAACAAGATGTTGAGGTGCATGGAGCCAGAAAAAGAGGTTAGCCAGACCCAGCAAGGGCAGCAACATGTCCTTGAGCACTATGAACACCTAACTCCCCAGCTTGTTTTAAGAGTACCAGCTTGAAATACCTTAATGTTCTTCGGAAGTGGCTTGTTTTGGGTCACTGCTACAGCAATTAAAGCAATTACAGCCAAAGTAGAGAGGAATCCCAGGATGAGTAGAATCTTTCTTGTCGAGGACATCTTTGGTTTGGTACCTGTGGCTAGAGCAGAAAAACGATGTTAGTATCCCAGTAGCCCATTTTACCTCACACTCCAAAGGTCTTTAGGCACATTCCTGCAGTCTCTTTCCACTATGAAGCCTTTGCCCATCCCTGTCCCATCTCCTGCTCCACGTACTTGTGTGGGATTTCTTAGAGGCAGAGCTCAGCCCTGGTGTCCTGCAGATGTGCTTTCATGGGCCATGCCACACCTCCATGGTCTGCCCTGTGCCCAGTGTATTTCCCAGATTTATAATCTAGATGTAAATTCAACACGTGTAACAACTAAATAGCTCTAGTGGACATACTTGCTCCCACTATGGCAAGAAATCCATTTCTAACCATATTGATGCTCCATACTCAAAAGCACTGATCATCTGACTGCTCAGATGGATATTAATTTCTCTTTTCCTTATACATAAATACTCTAGGAGATGTTTAGAAATACATTACAGGTCATCCAGGATGGTGACAATACTTTGATGCAAGCAACCACATCAGCTATTGTCACCCTCCAATAAGGTAAGGTGACAGACCCTGCTCTGCATCTGCATGCCAGAACCGGGGTTCCAGCAGTCTCCAGACCTCAGGTGACACCAGGTCCAAATACATCTGACACCGCACGTCGTGCATGCAAATATGAAAAGCATTCAAGTTCTGATCAGGGCCATCTTCTCACTGCTCTGGTTTTATGTGAGAGGCGGTCCTAGGCGCCAGAACTATATAGTGTTACCTGACCTTACAAATGACCCCAAATCCTAGAGTTAGTTTCAGAAGTTAGCCCAACTGAAAAGAAGCAACACGCCTCTGAAAATCTCTAACTATTGACAAATAACATCTTCCCACCTACCTAGAGAAAATGGAACTTAGAAATGCCAAGAGAGTTTGCTTTGAAGATGCTGCAGACATGTCCATTGGAAACCTAACATAGACCTGGAGCTCTGTGCTCCCTCACATCACGCTCACATGTAAATCTGCTAACTGTGAAATTTGGAAGCTTGTTACTCACTTTGTGAGTGCCTGTTAGGGGCACAGCATGCTTGCCAGTATTTCCAAGAATGCAGCTTGAAAAAATAGTCTAGGGCACATACCAGACAGTAGGAAGTAAGAATGTATTTTATCCAGCTTTAATCAAAAATGCCCCAGAACTCATGGCTTAAAGTGATTAGGAACAGCAGAGTGTGACAGCTGGGAGACTTCTCTTCCTATTGGAGAGAGTAGCTGGCTCAGGTTATGATAGCACTGAGCATGTCTGTTAAACAAAGATTATTTTAACCCTAGCAAAATGAATAAAACCAGATGCTATAATGTAAAATTAGCTACACAGTATAGATAAGAAGTTAGCGTGCTTGAAAAATGAAAGTGCTGCTGACAGTTGCACAGCACATTCACACAATTATTGCCACCCTTACTCTGAGATCTCGCCTAACAGCTTTGTTGAGTGTTTACTGTCATAGGAACGAAGGCTGGGTGACTTTGCACAACTTCTAAGATTTTCAAATTTCCTGTTGTGATGGGTATTGTCTGACTGCTGTATCTTTTCAGCAGCCACACTCTGAAAAGTACCAGCATTAGCAGCAAAGCAGGAACAATTTTCTCCCTATAATGGACCGTTCCAATAAACAGCTGTAGAAATCCCTTGTCTGTAGGCAGAGGCATAATGATAATTGTCTGCATCCCACCTGCAGTGTGAGATCCGTAATTTTTTTGCCAAGGCACGTTATTTCCTTAACCCTGAATGTGACTCTTGCCTGAATTTTAGTTCAGTATCATGAGCACTTTTCAGGGCTCTGTGGGTTGTAGAGATGCGATTTCATTGCTGTATCCCATATCAGAGTATCCATCTGTGTGAACTCTTATGCTACCAAGGAGCATTTTATTGAAATGTTTCATACAGGAAAAGGTACAGAATGATAAGCATAATCCAGAAGGTAGCCTAGCAAAGTAATAACCTTCTAAATAGCACTCAAAGTGTACATAACTGAATACTCAATTATTTAAAAAAACAAACAAAACCGAAACCAAACAACAACACTGCAAATCCAGATAAAAAATTCAACGTCATAAAAATTCACCTGCCATTTGTTCAGAAAAGTGAGGCATTTCAACAAGTTCCCTTTTCTGTGCACTTGGTTACCTCCATCAGCTCTAGGTTCTGCAGGGGCTAAAGAATGAACTTATTCTCGCTTCCTCCAGCTCCTCTGAATTTCAAATTCGCACCGCTGAATGTCATGCAGACACTCCCCAGTGTCCACAAAGTGGAGCAGTACTTGACCGTCTGGTTGCCAGACCCCAGGATTTTTCTTCCATTAGCAGTTTTTCCTCAGCTAAGATTAAGCAGACATGATCTTGTGTCTCTGTGCCCAGCTAGAATCCGAATAGAGACAGATCTCTACTCTTTCTCCCATGCTGCCCTCTGTAAGCAGTGACAAAAACATAAGGCCATAAGTAGGCATAGAAACGATGCTGCTTTTCTTCTCCCCAACCTCAGAGCTGCTGGGTGCTGGAGCCCTGCCCGGCTGCGCGGGCATTAAGCACTCTCTAGATGTTGGAGCACAGCCCAGCTGCTCAGGCATCTCTGTCTGTTTCTAATTTTGGTCTCTTTGCTTTTTTCGTAAGGGCTACCATTGGTTCCATCCAGTGATGGTCTCAAAACACAACCAGATCTAATACCCAACCAGATCTAATACCCTTTCTGTCTCTAAGACAGAGAACTGAGAAGGATGTTGTCAGCCACTCCAGCTGACAGCAGTTTTGCTGCAGAAATCCTGTTGCTCTCAGTGCATAACCCAGGAAGGACCACAACAGTGTGGGAGGCAGCTCTCTGAAGACAAGGAAGCAAGTTTGACTCCTTTGTCTTCCAGAGCCTCAAGACAAATATGAAACTACCCCTAGAATGACACTAAGTCACTGGCAGCTCTATATGCCAGGAGATGTCACTCACAGCCAAGGCTGCCCACCTCCCAACTCCCTTCTCACCAAGCAAGACTTAGCAACAAAAGTTAAAAGGAATCAGGCAACCAGCTGCTTTTAGAGATGAAATAAGGAGAGACTAAGGCTTGTTTGAAAACCGAAATTAGGATCGTCAAGGAGAAAAGGAAAGATGCTGTGCATAGTCCAAAGCCATGCTCGATTCAGATAACCTCACTGTAACCCATCATCTCTAATAAATACAGATATTTTTGTAAACTCTGGCTTAGCACAACAGCTAAAGTTGATGTGTGATCTTTCCTTTGGGTGTTCACACTCAATCTGTTACAGAAGAGATCATAAGAGACTGTAATGCAAGGCCATCACTCTTCCACTGCACAAGTGCCACATTGACAGAGACAGTTCCCACCATCACCTTTACGCTCTCACTACACCTCTGTATGGTCAGAAACATTCTCATTTTCAGTCTTTATTTCTTTATTGCTAGTCTATTCCTTCTGTCTGTGTTCCACTTCGATCTCATAACTTCTGCAACTCTCAATGCTTTTGGAATTTATTCCCTTAGTCAACTTATAAACAATGATCCTTTCTGGATTTTTGTGTTTCCAGCCTTTTCCACCTACCTGAAGAGTTCAGCAGCACTTCTCTGCATATAGAATAATCTGCTTTTATTTTTCTTGAGCATTCTGACCAGAGCTGCAAGGCTAACCTTGCACAGTAATGAACACAGGATATGACACAGTCCCAGCCCAAACCAAAGTGAGGTAGGGACCTGTACTACCTCAGAAACATGATCATTTACCATAATGGCCAGAGCTAAGTCAACCCAGCACCTCTGCTGTGGAATCCCAGCAAACCCACCTAGTAGAGAGGGGCTTGGGCAATGCAGTCTGTGCTCATTTACTAACTGCAGAGTTTCGTATCTGTGGAGTTCTGTCAGCAGTGATGGCAGGGAAAGGGCATGGGAGCAGTCAGTGCTGCTGTTCAGAGAGGGGATACACACATTATCCTTTTGGTGAGTTAAAATGAGGTTTCAGTAATCATTAAGCTTTTCAGGCTGAATTGCCTCAAAAACTCACCAATTACTCTGTGAGGTTGCTGAACTTGCATCAGGTTTTGATGCACGTTACTCAAGAGGCACTCCTGCCTTCAGACTCACCACAACCAAACATCTGAAACCTTAAACACTCAGAAGAGCCACACTCTTTCATTTATCAACCATTTTATGAAATTTCATCTGTCCCCAACTGACTTCTTACTCATTCTTTATCTGCCTTTTTCATTTAAACATCCTCTTATCTAGGTTACCTAGGAAGACTTTGTGAAGTAATGTAAACCACCTGTTTCAGGCCAACATGTCTTAGGCTGTGGAAAGGCTCAGGTTTGTCTTAGAATATACGTACAAGCACATATACAGTGAGTAAATGGCTTTGGTTTAAGAAGGTTTATTTCAAAATCTCGGGGCTAGACACTGGGCATGTTGAAATTAGAATTTAAGCTCCAGATCAGGATTTTTACAACTGCTACATGGAATAGTGTGGGAGACTCTGCTCCAAGTTTTAATTATTCATATGGCAAAGATTATGGCCTAAATACTGATGTGATCTCTGACCCTCCTAGTAGTGCTATGTAGAACAATAAATACACATTTACTGGATTATGTTTTTCCAATTTAAATACTTGTAAGTGCTGAAGTACAAACACTGAAGTGTCAGCAAAACTGATAATCCAAACAATGTAATGGGTTTTTTGGATGCTGTTTTTCAGAGACATTTGATACTGAGATCACGCAGCCCTACATGTCTCAAATCCCAGCAGACTCGTATGAATCTAGGCTACACAGCCAGGCAGAGTGCTTGAACTAATCTGTCCCATGTACACACATACCTGTGCACTAGTGAGCTGGAAGATAAAGAGTGTGCTTGTCTCTGAGATAACACCAAGCTGGGAGAAAAGCTCACTGACACACAGGACTGGAATTGAAAATAAATTTGACAAATAGGGGAGAGCCTAACTCACTTAAGGACAAGAGAAAATGTGACATTTAGATAACAGCCATCACCCAAAGACAG